GTGACGCTTGCGCTCCACTATTGAGATATTGCCTACTTTGCAAAATTTACAAATCTCTTTTTCTAGGGCGCCATTCAACAGTGACACGTCAACGAGTCGAATCTCGCCGTCTTCAAACGATCGGCCGTGACATTCACTCTCACTTTCTTCTTCTACGTCGGAAGGTAACAATATTTTCCTGCGAGATACAGACATCTCTCGAACGTTTTGAACAGGACTATCACCAACTATATCGAAGTCTGATTCATCGGACTCTCAGTGTCACGGTAAAACTTTCTTCGCCCACTTCATGGCTGACACTGGTTTCGACGGGGAAATCCGTTCTGTACAAACCCAGCATCGTCTCTTTCAACATCTTTTTTGACAGGGGTGATCATTCTTTTGACGTTTTTTCTTCTTTCTTTTTCTTGGAAATTTTCGCGTGCTTACTATCTCGTCCATAATTAGTGAATGACAACTAAACTAAAGAATTACTAACAACCCTCTCCTTCTTTGCATATTTTGCACATTAATGAAGGAAGCTGCCCTGTTTTTTAATTGGTGTGAATAGAATAATTGTAAAATGTGACCCAGTGATGTATGCCGGCATGTAGCATTTCCTGTGCTATTAAAAATCAAATCCCGCAAAACAGAGTTTTACCGTCGCAGTAACCTCCGGTCTTATACTTGTAGATGAATCTCTTCAAAATTTAATTGTAACCGGACTCACTGTTATCATCTATAAAAACTACCTAGATTTTAGATGATACTTTTATTTTTTACCGAAGTCGTACGAAAAAGTCAACCCTTGCCTTGCGTGAAACACTGCCCACTATCCGATGTCAAAACGTCGGCCGGTAAGGGGGGGGGGGGGCACGCTACTATTTCGTTGCCGTGCATTTTGTTCGCATGAGCACATTAGATAAAACAACCAAGAATTTATCAGACAGATTTATTACATGTAACATAATTTACGAATTTAGAAAAACCTAAGCATGCAAGTATGCCTACTTGGTGAAAACTCCTCTGAAAAATTGATTATATAAACCAGGTCCAAGCATATTCTTATCATTGATCAACCTTTACATGTTGTTTGTGGCCTGTTACCAGAATTTTCATGCAATGCATAGCCACCACAGATGACCGTATTTTATTGTTTGCAACCATATTTTGTAAATGTAACTGCATTACTTCTGGACTAGGAAAGTAACCCCGTGGTCAAGACACCTTTCAATGACAAAGCCAAAGAAAAAATATTACAGAAATTTATTGTAAGTTTTTATTCTGTTAACATATAATTACATTGAAGTGGTACATTCATGTACTTTTTTGTTTATTCAAAATTTGTTGTTCAAAAGCGATTGTTTTGTCTTTGCTATACTTCCTGTCTAGAAAAGCAGCAGTGCACATGTCTTATCAGCTGTGTGTAAACTACAAACAGATATCTTATCAGTTGTTTGTAAATAGCAAATAAAGAAAGTGGCTCAACTTAAAACTATTTACCCTCAGTTCAGTTATGTTTGTAAACCATGCATATTAATGAGATGCACTAGTTTGGTGTACACTGGATAAACAAAAACTTGGCCATTTGTTTGCACACAAGAAAAAAATCAGTTTACTTGTACAAGATATTTTTTTTTCAATAAAATAAAAACACCAATGTATGTAGCATGCCTTAGGGAGCTATTCGTGTGATTTTCAAAAAAAAATGTGAAAAGTGCACAAAAAACTACTCTGCTACCTTAAGGTAGAAGCCTACTCATAAATTAAAAAACGCAGAATTTATTTATTTTGCAATAAATTGTACTCCAAGGCAATATAAGGATTTTGACCTAAAACAAGCAGCCTATCGGCTGAGATAGCTCCGCTGTTAGCAATACACATTTCAATTAAAGAACTGAAGACATCATTAGAAAATGAACAATATGAATAGTATCAAAGCAATTGGACTTACAGTTTTTAACAAGAAGTCGAAAATATCACTTTTTACCAAAAATTACAAAAATATTCACCAAAATAAATTAATTAGAGAATTGAAGATATCATCACAAAATGAACAAATCTGAGAGAGGTCCACATGTAGTACCTATATATGTAATATCAAAGCAATCGGACTTGCAGTTTTCAACAAGAAGTCGAAAATATCACTTTTTACCAAAAATATTCACCAAAATTAGAGAACTGAAGATATCATCACACAATGAACAAATCTAAGAAAGGTCTACATGTAGTATCTATATATGTAATATCAAAGCAATTGAACTATTGGTTTTTAACAAGAAGTCGAAAATATCACTTTTTACCAAAAATGACAAAAATATTCACCAAAATTAGAGAATTGAAGATATCATCACGAAATGAACAAATCTGAGAGAGGTTCACATGTAGTACCTATATATGTAGTATCAAAGCAATTGGACTTGCGGTTTTTAACAAGTCGAAAATATCACTTTTTACCAAAAATGACAAAAATATTCACCAAAATTAGAGAATTAAAGATATCATTACAAAATGAACAAATCTGAGAGAGGTCCACATGTAGTACCTATATATGTAATATCAAAGCAATTGCACTTGCGGTTTTTAACAAGAAGTCGAAAATATCACTTTTTACCAAAAATGACAAAAATATTCACCAAAATTAGAGAATTAAAGATATCAACATGAAATGAACAAACCTAAGAGAGGTCTACCCAAGTACATATACACCAAGTATCAAGCATTCAGGCTTGTAGTTTTCAGAGAAGTTGAAAAAGTAAAACATTGACACGGACGACGGACAATCACTTATATGATAAGCTCCGCTCGACAAAGTCGACAGCGGAGCTAAAAAGTTGGGGGTCACCAGCTTTTTTTTCGAGAAATTGATGGTTGTATTTTAGTGGAAAGTCGCCATTTTGACACTATTATAACACTTTTACCACAGGTTCCTATGGCAGAGGTATTATGCAATATCTCAAAATCCATTCTGGTGACATAGGCTGCAAAAATCATATAATGGAGTACTTTTTGTTGTTCTGAATTATTTGAAAAAATCTCGGTTTTAAAAAGTGTCAAAAAATGCAATTTTTCTTTAACATTGTGTTCTATGGAATTGTTCTAAAAATAGCAATTTTTAAGAAATATTAGGACACGTTTCTCAAAATCTTAACTGTAACACACAAAAATGCTATTTCGTTGTACCATAGGACATTAGCTTCATAATTGTACATAATAAACTAATGAACATTGTCACGCAATTTATGAACAATTTAGTCAAAAATTATGACTAGGCTTCTACCTTAAAGCGAGAGGGTTGTCACCTGCGCACACAAGAGAATTGAGTCCCAAGCGAGAATAGCAACACGCGCTAAAAACGCTTGTTTGTAAACAATGACACGCTATGACCATCTGACACATGCGCAGGTGATGACTCCCCTTGCTTTAACAGAAAACAGAATGTCTTTTCTTACCTCTGTATGGAGTGATTTTAAAGCATCCATATTCTCAGCAGATAGCAGAAATGAGTCTTCTTCCTCACAAACTATGTCACGTTCAAATGAAGTATTGGGACTTTGTTCCAAGTCTTCCAAAATGTCTAAGATATCTTGTTTCGTCTTAGTAAAAATATTGTACCTAGAATCCTACAATAGAAATTACCATAAATAAATAATAAGGAATGTTTTTTTTTCTTTCCAATAATTTTATGTGCTGGATGCTTTATTTTTTTATATTTCTTGGTGTAAACTATTACAGGTAAATTTATTTTAACTAGCGAGTCCATGCTATGATGTATTTTCATCCGTGATGACTACACCCTGAACCACTCATAAAAACAGGGTTAGGCCATGGGGTTATGAGAGTGATGTGACATGTTTATAATAAATGTACATGGAAAATGGATGCCAAAAGTGTGAAAACAGCACAAAATACTTTGTGTGAACATTCCTTCATGCATTATAGTACTTCTGAAAGTTTTTTACAAGAATGTTGACATTCTGACAATGTGAAATGCAATTAGTGATGAGAGAACTTCAATACATAAATTTGTTTAATACAGTGTTTTAAGAACACTAACAACCATGTCAGGGAACTCAGGGAGTCAATAATATTATAATTACCTTTTCTGTTCTCAGTGAATTGATATGTTCTTGTAACGTGTCAAGTTGTTCATTGCTTGGAATGCTACCAGTCGGTACGTAATACGGCGTAGCGCATAAAATATCGCATAAATGTTGTTCTCTACTTTTCAATTCTGACAATTTCTTCAATCGTTCATGTTTCTCCTTATTTAGAACATCAACCCGTGTTCGTAGTTCTTTCTCCAACTGTAAAATGGTGAAGTGTTCTGGTGCCTGTTTGTATAAAAATATTATCAACTTTTCCATAATGTTGTAAAGTTTTATATTAAGATAGGCTTGTGCTCTAAGCTCTATGGTTATGTAATCACCCAATCACAGACAAAATAATGTTGCAGGCAATAAGAAAATGAACAAGAACTATTAAACTACATGATATGTTGGTAGGATGCAGCATAACTGATCATTGCGAAAACATTAAGGATGCTGTACACGTTTTTAGTATTGATTTTCTAAACTGATATTTTCATATAAAATATTTACTGAACAACACAAAGCTATATATTGATGGAAAGCTTATTTCACACTGGATATGAAATAGACAAGATAGTGTGTGTATGGACGTGTATAGTCATGTGATCTCTGTGTAAACACAGAAAGGCATTTTCGGTAAAAAAATAATTGAACCAATGAATAAACAAATTTAGTGGAACATTGGCACAAAACAGTTTTTCAGACGACGCTCACCACCATTCCGTGTTAATTGTGATATATATCTACATGATAAGTTGGAAAGATAATAATTTATCTATCTTGAAAAAACAATGCGATCTGGTTCTTTCCGGTATTCAGAAATT